ATAGACAACCAAGGCAATTAAGTCACATATCCGGCGAATCCATAGATCGTGTTACCTGGAGGATTACGAAGTATATTTGACGGTCACTTGGAGAGGATGATTTGCTGCTTCATCCATTGGCTTTGCGGATTTATCGCCACTGGATGCCCCGATACGATATCTAGGATTCACGAACGGACGGACGCTTCGTAGAAGGAAGTGCTTCATCAATTTTTCCAAACGGGGAGGAGAAACGAAAGCGAGTCTATCGAGCGAACGGAACGCTCCGTGGATAAAGTTATCCGGTGTAAAAATCCGTCGACGAATTTCGACCTCTTTTCCTTTTTTCTTTCTTTTTTTTCCCTCCCCCTTTCGAGGAAACGATTCAACCGGTCTGATCCAATTAGAACAAACGAACGGGTTACTCCGAATGCAGGCGGGGAGTCAGGCGAACGTCACCCCCTCCCCAAGGGTACGTATGCAGATCTGAAGACACGGTCCGTTCACCGCGGTGGTGTCTGGGTCTGTGTTTAAACAGAAGAGCGCCATCAAACATTCGACTTGAGATGCACAAGAGCATTTCGCGTAACCAAACATACGTACCCAGACGCGTCGAGTATCTAAAGGAGTGGCGAGAGGCCTATGGAACGGTGTCGCGCGGCTGAGAATGAGACAGTCATGGTGGAACAAAGGGAACGGAACCGAGGAGGAGGAGGAGAAGAGAAAAGAGAAAGAGAGAGAGAGAGAGAGAGAGAGAGAGTTAGAATGACGACAAATTCTGCCAAATACATGAGAGATACTCGAGCTGGCCGCTTGCCAAAGCTCCCCGAAGCTAGTCGCTCGTATATGTTCGCGCGAAACTCGTCAAGACGCAAACTCCACTTCTTCTTATGCTTTAACGCCCAACGACCCACGGCTAGTTATCTTCTATTTTGCCGTGGATCCTACACTTAGTGTTTGAAATCAGTTACTCTGATTGCTTGGCTTAGCTTGGCTCCCTTCAGCAGCTGTTTCCTTTTTTTTTTTTTTTTCTTTTTTTCGGCGTTTGAAGTTTGTTGGAAGTTTCGTTCAACTGCAGCACTTTATGCTTTCTAATCGGTCTTCGTGGATAACGTTGGCTGAACGTTCTCATCGCGAGGATCGTGTCATACTGCTATATATAGGAATATATAGGTCGATGCAAGGCGAGACATTTCGGAAGGTTATTTTGAAGGTAGGGTGTTATGTTCGTAAGGTGTGTTTCTAAATGTTAATACAGATGCAAGTTTATACAAACCGTTGTGTGATAATTATAATGCGGATTTTTATGCACTTGATGAAATATTTAAGAGTGAACGAAATGCGCGTAATTACAAAAATATCATGTACAAGAGACAATATATGATGTAATGATAATTATATCATTGATATAATTGATATAATTGATATTGTAAAATATATGTAATACAATATATTATGTGTTAATACAATACATTGACATAATATATACGATGTAATAAAACAATATTCAAAGTGAAGTATTTGTTGTAACGTTTAATGGATGAACTGAAACCTTATTGAAATTCCATTCCTTCAGTTACGTTAATAAAAAGTATGAAATTGCATAAAAATCTGCCACGTAGTGACAATTCATTGTGAGAGTAAATGATGATCACCACCTCAATCAAGGCCTATGTAATAATTTAAAAACCAAGATCAATCCTAATAATTTAGAAATTTCACATTACACACACTTTGAAATCTACGTAGATCAATCAATCGTTCGTTCAGAAGTTTCTCTCAAAATTGTTGAAAATAATGCCCCAACGTGCAACAACGTGTCCAGGATAGAATAATTAATTGATCGTCCGAGCGATCAGGTATATTTATACAAAGCATTCCCGCCTGGTCTTCGTCGCTCGAACGGAGGCAACTAATTTCTTTGATCAATCCCCTTTTTCCCTCCTCGTCGCCTCTTTCTTACATCTGTTTTCTTCGTCCTTCCGTTTTATTCATCAACGACTGATTGCAAACTTTCCGGGAGTTGCAGAAGTCAAGCGTACGTCGATCCCATTATTTCCTGTTCGGTACAGAGGCGATTCGAGCCGGTGTAAAAAATTATCAAAGGTAGAGAGATGCCGGGGCAAATAGAGCGAGATAAGGAGCACAATAAAAGCAATCGTTCGTGTCTCATCTGCTTCTCGGTGTCTATCCGAAGATGTTCGACCATCTTAATGTAACGGTGACTCTTTCCTAAATATTCGTTTGTACAGATCCGTACCGGTTGAAAAATCTAACAATCCTCTGTTTCTTTAGCATCGTTTCCCTTTTATTGGAGACATAAAGAAATTGGATCAAGCGGATAAATTCATTTACTTTTCATCAAAGGTTTCGAGATAAAGTAATTTCATTTTAGGAAAGAATTGGTAATTATCTGAAGAAAAAAAAAAATTTATCAATTTTATCTACTTTTCAGGATGATCCATCCCTTCCCCTTTTGTTTTTTGATATTTTTGAATTTTGTAATTGTCATCTTTTTCTTTTTTTCACAGAATTTTCATACTTTTCTTCAAACCTTACGAAACTACATCAATTTGACTCTTGGTTATATTTCGCTTAAGTACAACTTTTTCTCATTGTTCTCTCTTTGTTCTGATCAGTTTTCACTGATATTGATGAAATACCCATTTCCGTTTCCCCCTCAAAAGTAAGCGTATAATTTGTAAAAACAATTGCATCGGTCTATCTGAGACCTATCTGATGTATCCAGTGTAAAATAATAATAACGCCACGAACTCGCTGGAATTATATACAGTTCAATAGTGTGTTGTAAATATTACAATACGATTGGCGACAATCGATCGCGATACCATGATGCAAACCTAGCTGTGACTCGTACAATATTATAATATTCCATGTAAATTAATGTTGATTTTAATTTGAATATGTACTCGTTCGTCGTTTAACTTTTGTTCATTATGACTTATTACGATCTTCCGAAATGCTCGCCAAATATTCTAAGACACGTTACGCTGTATGAATAACATTGTAACCGGTCGTATCAATAGTTGTATGAATAATTAATGCGTCAGATACCATAATATAGGACGCGTGTGTAACGACGTCGTCGGCTTTGACCGCGTGAAATAAATTATTCGAGCGTGTTTCAAAATGAACGTGTATTATCAATTATTCGGTCACTGTGTTAACGTAGTATCAATGTACGTATAATTACCATTCAAACAATAGCCTTTCACATTCAAATTAAGTATACGATTAAACGTTCAATTGTTCGATTTGCCCGACGAATAAAAAGCGAACGGTGTCGCGGAACATCGAACACCCAGTAACAATTCAGACGGGGACAATCGTTGTGGACTGTTTCAAGATCGTAAAGAAAGATCGATATTTTCGTTCGTCCCGAACGAGAAAGCGTGACCTGTAAACAAAATGGTAACGAGAGGCGCGATCGATCTAATTAAATCCAACGCGGAAACGTATCCACTAAAATAAAACGGCATCGCCTTTTATGGTAAATTAATGCTTGACGTTAATATCGCTAACAAACGGCCGATACGCTGTATCATTTGACCGATCAGCTTGTGTATTGCAAAGTGAATTGATATTTCCCTCAGGTTACAATGGAACTCGGATAACAATGTAGTTGCAAAGCAAAGGTAGTTTCCGCTGCTATCCGCTTCGTGATAATAACCGTCACGATTAACTCGCTGGGGTTTCATTAATATGCGCGAACAAGCACGTGTCCGCGTCACCGAGCTCCACGATTCAGATCATCGCGATTAATTTGTTAATTGCCGCGCGCGAGGTAACCGTAAGTAGCGTAACGGACGAAAGGTGGAACGTAACGAAAGGATGGAAAAGAATTAAAGGAGAGTTAAAGGGGAGGAGCGAAGGGTAGCAAAAGGATAGCTAGGGATGGAATTGACCAGTTGCGCTGGCAACTGGTTCGCGCGGACCATAACGAGTGGCCAAATAACCGTAGACAATAATTCGTCGCTTTCTTTTCGAACTTTCGTCGGTATGATATCACTTAGGATAGAAATTATTGAGAAGTAATACATTTATTCTTTGTTTTCCCTACTTTGTCTATACTTAAAACTGAGAAAATATTACAATATTGGAACAAAAGATTCTCGACGTGCGTGGCGCAAGAGATTAAGTCCAGCGTGTACTAGTTCGAGTTAAGTCAAGATATGCAAGTTTTATGGATATCGAATAATATGCTAGAAAGTAAAAATACTTGAAAAAGAATGCTCCAAATATTTGTAATGTATTCATTTATTTATTTCATGTAATGTATTCCTTTTGTACAAATCAAGTATTTTATTCAACGTGTACGTTTCATTGTAGTTTAATGTACAAGTTTAATGTAGATAGTTATGTATATACGCACAGTACGATTCGTATATGTATGTTCATGTATGTACATATCTTTGTATTTATTAATTAATATTTTTATTAGACTCTCGAAAATATAAAATTAATTATATCGATTAATTTCTTCAAGTCGATATTAAATGTAGAAATTTTAACTTCTTACTTTCAAATGAAAATCGACATGTTAATAAAATTATTGTTGATTGAAATTCTGATTCAGCATATTGAAATAATAAAAAATAAAGCTCCAAATTATATTTATTAATTTATCGAGCCTGACGCAATCTTGAAAATCGCGTATAGAAAAAGCAGGAACGTGCTTCGAGTCAAAAATGCTTCGAAGCACACTTCAGAAATCATCCACTTGTAAAAATTTGAAAAATTTCCTGTATATCGTTAATTACGTTTCTCACTATTGTCTATCTTGTCAATTGTCAGGTTGAGTAGCACCGGAAGACAACTAGAAAACTTCCACTATAATCAACGCACAATCAAAGGTACAGTTCATCGTAAGAATTGAACCAATTTTAGTAGATTCTTGCAACTTGATCCCACTTTTGATTATAGAGGAATTATAAGAATAATAAATTGAGTGATTTTGTTAGGTGATCGAGCCCATCTCTAGTAACTAGCCACCCCGTACAGAAGAAACACGAAAGGTGTATAGACGGCAGGGGGTTGAGAATCGCAATTGGTGGACGAATGCCTTTGTCATTAACGCTCGGACAATGTTTTTCTCCGGTTGCTGGTTGCTCCGACTGGTATAATGTAACTGGATATATCGTGGCTGAAGGAGACGAATTGGAAGGGCGGACGAGGGCGGGCATCAAGGCCGCGAGAAGAAACGGAACAACAATGGCGGCGAGGGCAGAGAGGTAAACGATCGGCCGAGGTAGCAAGATGGGGTGTCTAATTACGCTCGTTTGCTACCCTTCAGCCAAGGCTCACGACCGTGAGCGAGCATCCTTTCTTTCGTTAGTTTCACCCCCCCCCTCCTCTCCCTCCCTCCCCCTCTTCTCCTCTTTTTTTTTCGCGAAAAACAGCCCTTATTTAGTTTAACGAGAAGCGGGAATACTCGGGCGAGAAATTCGCGACTCGGCCGCGCCCTCGCTCACGCGCTTATGCTGCATTTTCCTACCGGGCGCACAAAAGCCACGAAAAATGGAATATTCTGTAAATCTTCTTATCTGAGTTTTCTTCCTGCCTTCCAACTCGCTCATTATCGAATACTTATCGTACTGGTGTACGTACTCGTCGATTTCTGCGCGAACGCGGAAGGTTGGTATCCCTGTATCAATTCATCGACGATCCTACCGACGAATCGAACGTTATCGTTCTTTTTTTTTTTTTTTTTTTTTTCTTTCTTTTTCACGGATGATAATGCATATAATGGACGAGGAGTTCTCGCCCGAGAGGAAATTTCCAGCCGAAGAGGAAACGGTTCTACTGAAATTATTACGCGCTTCGACGTTACCTTCCGCGCGAGTTGAAAGCGCTAATCTCTCTTCTATCAAACTTTTATCCGTTGTTTTCTCTGGAGTTCGGAAGTTCCTCCCGTCGAATTTATTTGGGAGAAGTTCGATCGTGGAATTTCGGGATCCGGCGCGACGAGGTGCATTTGCGACGTTTAATGGAATTTTCATTGCTCCGGTGTTTACATTTATGACGTCCCCGTTCTAATGAAATTTCTTCGGGAATCCGATTTCCTCGTGAATCGATAGTTCTGACAAATGATTCACAGATTTCTGTCTTCTTTTTTTTTTCTCTCTCTCGATTAACGACGAAAAGGTTAAGTAAATTTTTGGCGTTGAAATCGCAGAACCGATTGTTATTAAAATTTACACTCGATCGGGGTTTTTCTCTTTGTGAAATTCTCCTCACGTGAAAACGCGAATTGAACTTTCTTTCCTTTGATGTTTTGCGTAAATATGCATAAACATATATAGAAATTCTACGAACAGAACTGTCGTATGTGTGAAAATAAAGAACAAAAAGGTATTGAACAACGTGACCAGCGTTGAGAGAATGGCAATCAAAATTTGCACGAAGTTTTCAAATTTCATGAACTCAAACAACGAAAACATTTAAAATAACAATGTACAAAAAGCAGGAAACTGTGCGGTACACGTACATTCAGCTTCCATCGAACAAAGCGAATCGATTGGTCGAACGGTTTGTAAATGTATACCAGCAAATTAAACCGTATCTATTATTTCCCCCAAAAAAATACGAAAAAATACGAAGATTGATTTATCCACAATGCCTTGTCTTAATTTAAATGTCTCATATTTTCATTGAAAATATCCGTAAATGTATTACAAATATTTAAACTTTGGAACGAAGAAGTAATTTAATTTGAACACGTTTATTTGTTGATTCGAGCGATCGATAGCGATGACATCAGCGCTCCATTCCTTTTTTGTAACATACGCAAAACTTAATCTGGACGCGTGTAAGCTGAATTAATCTGTGGAAACAGCAATGCTAACGTATCGAAAGCATTTAAGCTTGTTACGCGCCCGCGTTTCGTTGGCAGCAACATAAAAGATTTACGAAATTCCATCACACCGTGAAATTCTATTTTATTTTTCATTCATGGAATAAATACGCGTTAAATATGTATATTTATGCGCTCTCTGTTATTTAACACTGAAGTAGCTTACCATCTCGATTTTTCACAATGAAATTTAAATTCCTAACCATGTTTGTTCCAATGCAGAAACATTTTTTTCCAACACTGATACAGTCAGCACATGCTATTCAACAATACATCAGTTTTCTGGAATAAAGTTTAAGTTTCTAACACGATTGTTTGGAGAAAATCAAATCTGCTAATTTCCTAGTTTACTAACATTGTGAAATTATTTAGTTTAGTAGTATGGTTTTTTAGTCAAATTTTAATGTCGTTAATTTTACCATATGAACGAAAAATTACCAGCAAAGTGAACTCTATACAAATTTATTTGTCTGTCGGCAAGTCCGTACAAACGGAGCTCTGCTAACAATAAGAAGGTAATAATTTAATATACATGCTCGTGCCTCGATCCGACATCATCCCAAATTCCTAAAATAAAACAGGGCAGAGTTTTGAAACTAATTTTTAAATTCTCGAAACTCGGATCTGGAACTTCGTAAGAGTTCGATACTCCCGAAACTTTCGTAACTCGAAACTCTCGAGACTTGTCGTGCTGATTTAATGCCGTAAGAGGAATTTCTTGTTTTAAGAAGGAGTTGACACTTTCATATGAAATTTTTATTGGCCACGGTTAAACAAAATACGAAGAAAAGTATAACAACGTGCAGAAATGTCTAATGGAAATTCTTGTTTGGCAACGTTAACATCCGAACTCTTTCTGGATTTAATTTACTTTTTTTTTTGTCGATTATAGTGACGGATGTACTGATTGTGAGATCTGTCTTTCATGCATAAGATATCTTCTTTTTTTCTTCATTTCTTTAGCTTTGAATGTTTTACAATTTTACATTATTATCTCAGAGTTACGATCGATAGTAGTCTTGAAAACGAAAATTGATCACCGAGCGTTCGCGAAGTATCTCGTATCAAAGATTTGAGACACAGGAATCAAACATTCTCTGTTCACGCTGCAAATGATTCTTTGTTCGTTGATTTCATACTTTTTTTTTTACCTGACTATCGAGAGTGTTGAATCGCGAAAAAAGTATTCTCGAAACTCGAAATTTTCACATTCTTGGAATAAAATTTAAGTTTCTGACGTAACTAGAGAGTTGCAGAAAACATCACAAGTGTCAAACATCAAATTTTTCAGGAGGAAAAAAAAAACTTACTATTTATTTAAATTTGCAAATACTAGATTACTCGTATATAGGAAAGCAAAAATATCTATTAAAAATATGTACATTAAAAATATGTATTTTTAATGTATGATTTTTATTGGATTGGTCGAAAAGTAATCACTTCTTTTTTTTTAATGGATGAACATATATATCTTCATTTTAAACCATAAATTCATTGTGTAACCTGTAAGCCTTGTTCAAGTTGTTTTAAAAAAAGAAAATGCACGATCTCATTAAATCGTATGGTTGGCGCCGATTAAAAAAAAAAAAAAAAAAAAAAAAAATCGAATTAAATCGAACAGTTCTATTCTTTGGAAAAATAAAATAAATTTCTACAGTTCAGCGATNAAAAAAAAAAAAAAAAAAAAAAACACGTCAAAGAGGAACATTTTCGTCGTGTCTCTAAAACGGAGAAAAACACTGTGTAAGCTGATAAAAAATTATACGACGTTATATGGTAAAGAGACCATAAACCTACGACAGATATGTCAGAATTGATTAAATTTTACTGCTGATGAACCTTCTCGAATGCAGAACCACGAAATTGTCCCAAAGATAAACGAACAAAATCTTGGTTTCTCACGAGAAATTCGCCTTTCAAAAAGAAAACCACAATTACCTTTAGTAAGCCAGCTTATTAATATTATCAAGTAGAATACGTTAGAAACATAATGACGATTGAAAATCATTTTTTATCGATGTTGTCGAAGTTTGGACAGCTTTCAACTACAGAAAGCTAAATTCAAAGAGCTTCGGTAACTTTCGACTGCTAGACAGAATATTAATACGGAGGGAGCAAGTGAACTGCCGCAATTTTCCATGGATTTTCTTTTATTCTTTTTTTTTTTGCATCCGCGACCTCGACATCGTAATCCAAACCGAAATACCCTTTTAATAAACAGTCGGTGCGCGAGATTCATTAGCTGAACGACAGAATCGAACGCATTTCGCGGCTGAAATTATTAATTAAATCAATGCGGGAGAGACGCGATTGTGTTAACGAATCATATTCGCCGTTACCGGGGGCAGGAGGGATGGAGAAAACGCCCGCGGGGGTATCACTGCGTTAAGTCGCGGCGAAACAAAAAGCCCGAGGCGATTAAACGAGCACCGTAGAATTGCCAAGGACTAGTTTGCAAACCTGCGGCTCAAATTATCGTTAATTTAAATGCTCCTACTTGCATTCGACGGCGTGGAGCGAACGAATACCGGAAGATGGAGCGAGCGAGCGAGCGGAGAGAGGTGAGAGAACACAGTTGAAAGTTTAAAGGGAACGCCATAAAAGCTTAGGCGCGAACACGTAGCCATCGAGAAATTTTCACGTCGCTGTTTGCGCGTTGAAAATTGTAAATTAACGCGATATACTGTGTTAACGTCGCCGCGGTGAATCTGGGGAGAAATGTCGGCGCGAACGCGTTTCAAGTGTTTCGCCCCGGTTGTAATTCATCGCGCGACGTTTTTGGCTGACACGATTACCGCTGGAAAATCCATTTCCAAACCGGTTAATATTACGCTGTTTAATTATATCACGTGACTCGCGTGCTTAAGGATCAATCCGGAGAAATAATATTCTCGATAACTCGACGGCAGAGTTTGCCTGAACAAATTACTCGGGTAGGTTTCTCGTTTTTTTTTTTCTTTTTTCTTTTTAACAGGGGAGGAAATTAGGGTTAAGTATAGAAAACGTAAAAAAATACGGAGTTTCTATATTTGTATTTATAATAATATAAATTTTAATTCAATGTTTTTGATGTTCAGTGTTTAAAGATTACTCGATGATATTAGTAAATTAATAAATAATATCAATTGAAATATAGAAGATATAATTCTGGTGAATTATAGTGCTCACAAGAAACATCTTCTAAATATTATAGAATATTTAAAAAAGTTCCAAAAGTCTATAAAATACATTTAGGTAACAAAGTGCGACATTTATAATTTTTCATTTTGGCTTTGGCTCTCGCCAAATCTCCCTCAAAAATTTTCTGTAATATTTAAGTCTGGAGATTTGGCTATATTAAAACACGAATTCTTTTGTTTGCAAAGAATCGTTGAAAAATCTATTTATTTCCAGCAATTTCTCTCGCACACGTGTTAATTTGTTCGTCAATCGTTTCAATCTATTTTTTACTATTTAATCTTCCTGTAATACATTTTGTTTCCATCTTACCTTGGTAACCAGTATCTCCCAAAATCATTATACCACCGCCTTCCATGGGTCGACAGTTGCTCCTTTCACAAAACACGATAGTGAAAACCATCAAGTTCGTTTAAATTGAATCTTTTTTCATTTGATAAATATGACTCTCATTTTTTCTTTGTATAAACATGTTTTTCTAGCAAATTCCAAACGGCACAGCTTATGTTCTTGCTTAAAATAACATTTTCGTTGCAATTTTTGTCGTTTCAGATGTTCACAGTTCTTCAAAAGATGTCGAACATTTCTCATACTTGTCGTAAGTTCAGCTTCTTCTGCAATTTGCCTCTCAATCGAACTTGAATTTGACGCTGTGCGTATTATGGCACGTTTGTTCCAAGAATGTTATACTAAGCTTTATTCCAAGAGTAGTTGTTAGTTTACTTTTTCTTTTGCCATAATTATCGAGGCCTTTTATCAAATTAATCATCACTTTACGATTTCTGTCGACTGTTTTGGCCATTTCTTCATAATGTTCTTCGTTTCGTTTCAATATCGCGCGTGTTTCAGCTGGATTTCACTTTCTTCCACGACCAATTTTTGCAAATTTATTCGTTTGCTACGTTGATACGCCGATTTAATCGATTGTACTTCGCACGAATGTTATGGTTTCGATAGCCTCCGTACGACTGAGGAGCGTAAACATTAGACTTGTTCAAGTCTGTTCGCCTCGAGGCTACGAGCAGTATATTATATTTTCGTTTTCGTATTTCTGAGAAATTGCATTTAGGTAATAACATGACAAAGATCCACGCGCAATACTGATGAAAATCTGCGCGTTCTCTCTACTTTACGACACACACGATATGAGAAATTACAGAGAGTGCTTCTATCCCGAGGTGTGCACAATTTATTCCATAAATTTTACCTATAATTCACAATACAATTTAAAGTTGCAAAAATCTACAAAATACATACAGGTAAAACAATTAATTTGTCCATTTACTAAATTTTTCATTTAACAATATATATTTTATAAAAATATAAAAAATATATATATATATATTATTTTATAAAAATATAAAATTACATCGCTAATATACTTTCGGTAATATCGTCATTGTTTCATACGTAATATTATTTCATGTTGGCGCAGGCGTTATTCGTTTGATCAAACCGGGCGAAATTATTCCAACAGTTAGCCAACAGTTAGTCTCGGGTAGGAATTGGAAAACGTTGTGGATTCATTATTCGCGGGACGAAACAAGAGCAACAATATCTCTCTCGCGTTGATTCGCAAGAATTCGCGAGGAAACGCGCGTCGCGGCGCGTGCGTCCTTTATTTTTCACGAAACTTCGCGTTTCACGTTTCCTTTGACAATTCGAGTAAAAACGCCACGGTATTTTCTTTCCGGCGTTTCCCCTGTTTTCGTGTGCGATTTAACATGCGGCGAAACTATCGACAGAACCCGCTGCGCCCGCTACATAACAGATCGGCCTCGCGCGTGCATGTGTACGCCGGCCCTCCAGCAAAATTTTTCATTTCCAAGGATTTCACTATCCGATATTGTTGACCGCTTGTGTGCGTCCGACGCGTGTATCGGCGACGTTTTATTTCTCCCACCCCGTGGACTCTATAGAAATCGCGGCGCGATACGTATTAATCGAGCAAGCGCAAAAGTCTCATCGGTAACGATAATTCGTTTTGTTCGCATCTGGGGAGGATTCGATTAACCCCTCGATTTAAAATCGAATCTCGGGGATGTCGTTTCATACAAATAATTACGAGTGCAATAACCAACCGAAGCGTCATATTTGATGCTAAAGGGATGCAAATAATTTCATTTTCCAGTGTTACGTCTTGCGAAAGTATTCGAAAGTGTTTGTCACGGAGTTTATCTTTCACGTGTGCCGTATAAAATTTTATTTCATTGTGTTCGATTGTGTGTTACGATTATGTTATTATGTTTGTGATTATGATTGTATCATTTGATACAACCTTTAATATAATCCACTTAAATTTATATTGCAATCTAACATCCATGTGAAAATGTATATGAAAGTCACAAGATATTTGTTGCACACATATATTTGGTAGAATATTAATATACACGTGTAGAAATTGGTAGCCATCTTGAGTATTTAATATTATTATATACATAATTGTACATTATGTATATCTCGTTACATACTAATGTATATAAAGTGTAGATATTATATAATATGTATAAACGTAATTGTGTGCTGTTTTTTCGTGTTTATTATATATATTTGTATCAAATACCTTGTACATATTTTTAAATCACTTTCTAACTTAACGTAACTCAAAATGCTTTATACAACACAAACACAATGTGTTCATTGCAAAAACTTCCAGTACGTGAGCAACGATGTATACGAACGTAAAGTGGTATTATTATAAATGGTATATTTCAGTTCAGAATTAAATTGTAAACAAAATTGAACGCCATTATCGCGACGATTAATACGCATCGTAACGAATAATTAAGAAGAAACGATGTGTAACATCGGCCTCTTCTTTTTTTTTTTTTTTTTTTTTTAAACGGGTATTATAAACGGGTGTAACTTGGAATGCAACTTTCGCGATAGATCTTTTGTTTCGTGGCGTTTCGCGCGGCGGAGAAAAAAAAAAAAAAGAAACAAAAATGACGGGGGGTAGTTAACGGTGAAATTCATCTTCCTCGCCGGGGGAATATAACACGCAATTAAAAATACATTAACCCCCGGCGAATAAATGTATCTTCGTTGATAATAGTTTTCGTTAATAACAGTTAGCCCGGGTGAAGAATAACGATGTCATTTAACTGTGAAATCCATCTTGCCGCGCGATGCTAACGTAATATACAACGAAAGGGAATTCCAACCTTCCCCTTCTTACCGAACGTTTCTTCTGTGCCACGCTAGATGAGCAGGAAACTTTTGTACAAACGAGGAACGAAAGGAACGTCTTCTCATCCAGGCAATTTCTAAAAATGAGGAGAAGACGCAATATTGCTTCGTAAATTTCTTTTTTGTGTGTGTGTGTGTGTTTTTGGTTTCATTCTCAACTAAACTGGACCAAAGTTCCTATTACGTTGAAGAATATATCTGATTTAATTTCTTGCGCTGGAATGACGTGCCACGCACGTTGAGAATTTTTTGCACCAAAATTGCAACATTTTCTCAGTTTCAAGTGTATTTAAATGTATAAATTAATATATAAATATATAAATTAATATATAATATGAATAATTATAATATTATAATATAAATTATATTGTATTAATATATAATATAAATAGTTATTATATTATAATATAAATTATATTGTATTAATATATAATATAAATAGTTATAATATTATAATATAAATTATATTATACTAATATATAATATAAATAGTTATAATATTATAATATAATATAAATTATATTAATATATAATATAAATAGTTATAATATTATAATATAAATTATATTGTATTAATATATAATGTAAATAGTTGTAATATTATAATTATATTATATTAATGTATAAATTAATGTACAATATTTAAGTATATTTAAATGTAACCCAAACAAAACATATGACAAGTTAGTTCTTGATAATTTCTTGATAATTTCCATCCAGTGATATCATAACGACGAGTTCAAAAGGAAAAGAAAGCGACGAATTATTATATATTGTGGTTCGGTCACTCGTAATGGTCCGCGAACCGGTTGCCAGTGCAAGTTTTTGAAAATATTCGGAAATGCTTTTCAACGATAATTTCAAAGTCACGATTTTCGCGATTTCACTTTCGACGTGGATTTTATTACCAATGGTGAATGTAATTTGCAGCTTGCATACCTCCTGTTACATTGAACGATATCTGATTTAAATTGGCTGTCTTTATTTAATTGTTTATCTCATTCAGTTCGTGCGATGATATTTTTGAAAATATTCTGAAACGCTTTTCAATAATATTTAATTTCAGATTAACGATTTTCACGGTTTTACTTTCGACGTGGATTTGAAATGATTAATGTAATTTGCAATTACATGCTTCCTGTTGCATCGAATAACATCTGATTTAACTTGTATATCTTCATGGAGCTGCAATTCATAAATAATACCGTTCAATCCATTTACGTTGTATTCCGAAAATATTCTGGAAATTTTATTTTCCGATCCCCGATTCAAAATCTGCGAAACAAATTCTCCGTTACTTATTCGTCGCATCTGTTTGTAGTAAAAATTGAACAAACTTCGGCTATCATTAAAAAAAAAAAAAAAAAAAAAAAAAAAAGATCGTACAACATACAATTCTATTTCCCATCCTACGTTTAATTATTATTCGAAATTCATACGCCGTATTAAATCAATTTCTGTTCGAGCCGATTCAATCAACGCAAATCAATCATCGACTCTCTCTCTCTCTCTCTCTCTCCGCGAATAAATGATAAAATCTGTCTTTTCGCGTCTCTCCGTTTCATTCTTTTAACACTTCAATTATCGAAAATTTTAATTTAATTTTCGTCGAATCGGAATCGAAATTATTTAATAGCGGGGGTTGAAATTCTCTCTCTGCCGCGGCGCTTTTTCTCGCATCGCGGTCAATAGCAACGCAGCCCCTCTCGAGGGGGCATCGGGAGACAGAGCACCCTTAACGTACGACCGGATGCATTATGAACACCTTTGAAAATAATCTTTCAGCCACATTCGTTAAGCCGATTTCCCAGGACACCCTATGGAAACTGTCTGCATTATCGATAGAGCTTACCGCTGGGCCAGATGATCGAACGGCTCGATGCCAAAGGCTACGTGCAAGTTACGAAAACGTGAGTAATCTCACGAACAACGACACGTTCCCTTCCTCTATATATCGGACGTTCCTCTATCCGAGGGGGACAAGAAAAAAAAAAAAAAAAAAAATAACCATAATTTATCGAGCACGCCGTGGAAATTCAGAGCGAGGACTTTCTTCTCGGGGAATTTCAAATTCCGGGCAGTCCGCCTGTGCATAAATCCTGATTAATTCCCTGGTTGCCTGAAATAGAGAGTCACGCGTGTTCGGGAGATATTTGGAAGAAAAGGTTTATTAATCGACTGAATTACGAAACGCAACGTTCAAAAACGTTTGCGTAATAAAATTATTGCGTTTCTCTTGAATTTTATTCGCTCGCGATTCATTCTTGAATTGAGAAGTTTCTGAAAGGTTTGCCGAGATCGAGCGTAGTAATTCTCGCTCTGAAATTTCAACGCGAAGCGTATGAAAACGTGACAATTGTATAAAATTGAAGGAATAACGACAAAAGTCTAAAAGTTATCGAAGGCGTTTCGCGATTCTGCAAATTCTTTATTAATCGAACTTTGTCGAGATCGTGAGATTAAGCTTTGTACGTGCACCTGGCGAAATCGAAGCTAGAACTTGAACAGAAACGAAACGAGTACGTACATAATTTCGATCTTTATAATTTCAGAAACGTAAATGTTACTCATCGTGAGGCCGCTGAGTGTCCTTTTAACCCTTCGCACCGGAGAGGCGACTCTCACTTGCCACTCGGTTTCATGCAGAAATTCAGAACGAGGCGACTCCGAGGCAAAATTAGCAGATATGTATGTCGCAACGCAGCAGATGGATTGTTTGCCACTTGGAATCTTAGTCAAGGCCCTGTTGCCGGCTGATATTTCCCAGGATTGCAGATCTATCACACTTTTCTGCCACAATGACAGAACGGTATTATCCATCTTTTTTCCTTTTTTTTTTTTTTTTCTATTTCCGTCTTCTCTTGCATTCGCTTTCCTTGATTTGCCGGTGGCCTCATTTAGACAGAGGTCTAAGCAATGAAATAGTTCCGAAAAGGACTAGTTTGTTTGATAATTTTTTGTGTTACACATGTGAAGAGCATAACCTATATATAAATGACAATGAAAAATTGCCAAACTTTGTGAAAAATGACATTTTTTTACGAGGTTATATCACTTCATAAATTATTGACAATTGTTCATTTATGATCTTTCTTTTGTCATATCGTTATATGATTTTTTTTTTTTACGAAATTTTATCCGTTTATTGATAATTTATATAAATAAGTTATTTATATAATAAATAGTATATATAATTAATTATTAATATTATTATAATTAATTAATAATATTATTAATACGATAAATATTATATATAATTAATTAATAATATTATTATTATTAATATAAATTATTTATATAATAAATAGTATATATAATTATAATATATACTATTATAATAATATATATAATAATAATATAATACTAAATAATAATAAAAGTATATATAATAATAATAATATAATACTAAATAATAATAATAGTATATAATAAATAAATTAATTAATTAATACAGATAATTTATATAAATTATCGACAATTTTTCATTGTCACTAATCGGCGACGTTACTGTCACGTAATGTTCAATTTCAATAACCGATAACGTAATTGCGGCGACATGAGATTTTCAGCGCTAAGTGATCGATGACGTGACCGGTGGCGGGATTTTCGATATCAATATATAAATCATCAGATTATCCATTCAACGAATTTCGTCTACTATTTCGTTCTATTGAAAAGTCACTGTAAACGAGAAGTGCCGGTGAAATATTATAGCAAGGCGAAGGGAATTTTATCGCGCGGGCGAGAATTGTTTCGAACAACGGCGCGAAAGAATAGCGTTTAGAATTAACTGCTTAAAATTTCCGCGTGAAAGGTTGCGTACAGCTATCTAAAGTTTGAAGTGGATATGCTCGAATGTCTTTTAGAAACGGCTGAAAGAGACAAAAGGAGAAGAAAATAGGCGCGTGCAAGATTAAACGCTTCTGAAGAATGCGTGCGAGGAGGTAAGTGAGGAGGTGCAGCCAAGAGTTTGAGAGAGCGAAGAAAGAGTTTCTTCTTTTCGCTCTCGAGAATTAACGGCCGAGAGCTTTGAACGAGAACGAAGACAAAGTTAGGTGTGTATATTGTTGTAAAAAATGTATTCATGTTGGTAAAGCCAGTCACCGTCGTCGTTATATTTCATTAACAAAATATATATTCGCGCATTTGTGTATTTTATTTCGAAGCGTTTGTTCCGGGGATCAGAACTTATCTACGATATTCCAACATTTCGTTTCCAACGTACATACGTTATATAATGTACATTTCGATACTCGCGAGGAGAAGATTTTCTATGGTAAAGACAAGCTTGTCTTACCTCGGGGTTAGTTTGAAAATGTGCACGATGGTTGGGAGTTTTTTTTTTTTTCAGATTTAGTGCACACCGATATCGATATTCATAAATGGTTTCTAAAACGAGAATGGTAGAGCCGTAATACTTGGTTGAATATCGACCAACGATGCAGTTTCTTACCATTCTACCTTGCAAAATGCCTACAGAATTTTGAGGGGAATATATATGCATTCTCTACCACAGCCAGGTATCGAACGTGAATTTGATATAAAATTGAAAGTAGAGTAAGCGTCTTCGTCTGTTTGACTTTTTTTTTTTATCAATATCCACGACTTTTATTATTTACAAATATATGATATAATATTTATAATATAACATATAATATAATATGATATAACATATATAACATAATATGATATAACATATAACATAATATAACATAATATAAAAACATAAATCGTTGTACAATTATGTAGAAAAAATGGATATTAGGATAAAGTGTAAGTATAACATTTTGTCAAATTAGTGTCAAACTTGCTATTACATGAGCCCTAGATTAGCGAGTTGCGTTCAAGATTAGCAAAAATAGGAATAGTAAGTGATAATTATACTTGTTTCATTCATCGATTTAACTTACATACATATATTTTTGTTAGTTACTACTTATCACGTGGACTCAGACCCAGCCTGTCAAATTAAGAATTTTCACACATTTTTCTGCAACTTTCAAATATAGACCATTCAGAAAATTTCCAACTATAATATTATTATTGTTGAACTAACAATAATATCCAGCATATGTACAACATATTCCCTATAAATGTTACCCCATAAATCTCAGTTAGTTTCGAGTCAGCGCGGAATATTTTTGCACGTTAGTTATTGTTATTGACATACACACGTATCAAAAGTATCGTGCAGGCAAAGGAATGGTTTTCAAAAGACGGTGGAACCGTTTTCCAAATTTGCCATCTCACGCGAGTATTTTACCGAGTGGTAATGAGAAATTCTGGAAACCTCCCCTATACTTGCTGATTGGTCTTAATACGTCTTCTGCTCCACGACTCCTCAGAGTCCTTTGAAAACGAGCAGATCAAGATCTTTTTACGTAAGAAGACTCTGAGGAGATCACGAGTTTAGGGACGAGTTTGGTGTGACACAGTTTTGCGACCAGTAATTCAAGTTCAGTATTTAGAGACAATTCAATTTAGTAGCCAATCGGTCGATATTCAGCTAAGCAAATCTCTTCGAACTTTGAAAAATTTTCTGTTATGTATTAATACAAAATAATGAGAATAAATAAATAACGCTTATCATTAGTTCACTACTGAAAGAAATGTAGCTTTCTTTCAAGTTATATGATCATAATTCTTCTATTTTATTTTTTTCTTCTCATGTTAAAGGATTTATACTCTGTTCTTAATTCGTTACAAATTATTTACGCGAATTTTTCAATTTCCATTAAGGAATTTAATTCATTTGTTAAATGATCGACGTCATAAACCTGAACTCTGATTATTAAATTGCAGATCTGAACAAAGTTCAGACAAAATACGAGAATCGTACGAAAGTCAGTAGTTTATAACAGAGAAAGTTATGAAAATTCGCAAATATAAAAAAGTTTGTACACTTTACGAGAAATCATCCGAATCTCTGAAAATTTGCGCACCGACTTCTTCGGTGTACTCTGACGTCAAATAATAATAATAATAAAAAAATCCGGCCTGAAGAATAAAGATCCGTGACTGCTGTCGATTAAACATGACTTCGATCTCTCAAATTATTCAAGCACAAAGCAAAGAGAGAAAAAGAGAGAGAGTAATTCCCTAGGGATTTCTTTAATTCAAAGATTCTTCAGCCGGATCTTCTGCGAATATTTGATTTTTCTCTTTTTCTTCTTTTCAGCCGGAGACGCAACGTTGTGTCGGCGTGACGTCGATGGAGATTCGTTATTTGCTAGCGGCGGATTTAGGTCGATGATAGACTGGCACCGTGTCTTAGAGTAGGTTTTAGGGATTTTATATCCACATCCATCAAGATGATGGGGCCGCGTTCGCGGGTGATGCGTGGTGTAGGTCAAGTATCTAAGTCTTTGAGCCTTGAAATTTAAGGCTGCTACGAGCCATAAGTAGGGAAATGGGAATTTTATACCGATGTCTATAACGAACGACTAAGTCTTTGAGTAAGAGGCGTGAGACGTGAAGGAGCGTGGAAGAGAAACGTCCATTTTTAACAAAAATCGCAGATTATTGATCTCAAATTCTTTTTTTTTCTAAATAAAATTGACACGTCGATATGTATTAACAGTTGCGCGTTAAGTTACAAAGTTGAACGATCTTTTGATGATTTTAACTCGCCTTCTCTCCAATTTTGAAGACTTTCGACAGTTTCTCGCCAACGAAGATAAAACGTCCGTGCAAATTTTCGATAACAGACGGAATACCAGCGTGCAATGATAACTTACGTCAAGCACACTGTTCGACAAAACAGAGATACGCTCGGTACAATAGATATACGCTCATGTATAACCCAGGAGATCGATCAAATGGATGCTACATAATTTGCAACGACCAAGCACAATTCATGTCGACGATAATGAGTTAATTACAGACGCTAGATATATTAATTGCAGCACGAGTACATTTTACAAATTGAATGTAAAGAATATACTAATTATACAATTCGACGTTTATTCAAAAGCGCTGTAGTTTACCATAGAATTGAATTGACTGGCATCATTTATAATCTTCTAGGTATCACGAAGTTCCTAGAAGATCCGAGGATCCTTCTGTGTCTGTTTCAGGTCTTTTCTTTAATGCGAATTTTACTACAAACTTTATGCGAAAGAGCCAGTAGTGTTTGTAGATTTCACGTGCCACGTGATATTCGTTGCAGAAGGAAAGGAACCAACCTGCTTGTGATAAAACGGAATATGTACAGGGTGTGCCCATAAAGTATCTTTACAATTTCAAAAATTTATTACAGAGGCAAATGAAAAGACAGGCAAGTGGAAATTATTACAAAACGACACGTATATATTTAAGTTTTTTCTGACCTCATTTAACTCGATTTCTTACACGATCGATGTTTTCCTCAAATGTTCTTGGTCGTCCATTCCTCCCATTATTCAACATTGTCCCTGTTTCTATAAAATTTCTTATGCTATGCACGAACTGACGAACGCGACGGTGGATCTCTTCCATACTTAGTTCTAAAGTTTCGTAAATCCGATTTGGTTTTAATAAACCACGATATCTTCTCTTGAGGAGTGACCATTTTGTAAAGGGCTCATTTAACAGTATCTTATTCATTACCTGAAATGCAATGATAAAAACTTTGATAATCACCGAGTAGATAGAACAAGTCTGATGAAGATATCTCATCAATTGCCTTTGTAATAAATTTTAGAAAATTGCAAAGAGACTTTATGGACATCCACATGGAATTATGTTAGAGATATCGTGCATCGGACAAAGGTACGGGACATCACTGATCTAAAGCAGAGGATCACTGATGCCATTGCCACCATTGATGAGGATATGCTACAGCGAACATGGCAAAAAATCGAGTACCGTCTTGATGGTGCCCATATAGAGGTGTATTAAATGGAGCAAAAAAAAAAAAAAAAGAAAAAACTTAAACACATACGTCTCATTTTTTAACAATTTCCACTTATCTGTCTTTTCATTCGCCTGCGTAATAAATTTTTGAAATTGTAAAGAGACTTTACGGACACCCTGTGTATCGAACGAATCACGCGACGAGCGTCGCCGGAGATCACGTGGCTCCGCTGACAACAAGACTCTTCTCTCGGTCTCTCCGCCCTCTCGCTTCGCCCGGGCGTTTTACTTCACCGTGGCGAACGTACGAAAATTAGGAACATCTGTGACAAAGAAAACGGATATATTCGAGGGAATGGAAAGTAGCCAAGTCCGTCGCAGTCCGGGGTGAGTCCGGAAGAGACGCGAGAAATTCGGTGCCAGTCGCGGAGAAGAAGCGGCGGAGGGTATAGAGCGGGCGCACTTTTGCTCGTGCATTCATAAAGCTGGGTCATTGCCGAGCTGTCGAGTCGGTCTTTCTTGTTTCTGTAGAGCTGCGTCGAGATAAGTAGCTGCCGCACGGTCTGCGCGCTTTGTTTGTTCAAGCTTCTCTCCTTTCTTTGCCCATCCTCCTTTCTTCCACCTCTTTCTCTCTCTCTCTCTCTCTCTCTCTCTCTCTGTCTCTCTCTCCTCCTGCTGCTGCTTCTTCTTCACCTTCCGCTGTCGTCACACTGCTTCTTTCCCCGTCCTTTTTTCTTTCTCCCTTTTCTTTCTTTTATGAAGCGAGCAGCGTTGTCTCTGCTGAGGCAAGAGAGGATTCTGCCGGGCCTCTCTCTCTCTTGACTCGCAACGACACGGTCGTTACGATGCATTAATTATTAATGCAGACTTCTGGCATCTAATATCCACTTTGGCTTGCTCTCCCCCCCCCTCCCCCCGCCCCCTCCTCTCCTCTCCTCTCCTCTCCTCTCCGGCCGCGCTATCGTCGTATTTATCTCGAGCACCTCGCAAATAGCCGATTCGTCGTCGTGCGCCCATCGCGCAGTTCTCACGGCCGTACCAGATAATACCCGGGCGAAACTTAACGACCATCCGTAAATCACGATGGCCCGGCTCAGCGATTGTTATTATTCTTTCCTCGCCTACACGCTGTTACGCCTGGTTAAACGGTGGATTTCATTACCCGTCTCCGCCTGTTTCGCGAAATCACGAAAATCACAAAGCCCCGTATTGGACATCAATTGCATTGTTAATAACACGTATGTATAAAATCATGCTTCGTTCTTCGTGAATTAGAGTTTATTAATCCATGTTTATTAACCTCTTGCGCTGAGAAAAAGACG